GCTGCGTGATCACATGAATAGTAAGTGGCTGTTTCACATATCTTCTACTTTTATTTTTATTTTTAGGTGTTTCTTTTATATATAGTTTTGATGTCCAAATATCAAAAATAAAAAAAATCTGATTTTTTTATTTAAATATATTTTCAAGAAAAAACTATTTAAAAAACATTATACACACACCACAATATCACATACACCTAAATAAAGGGTTGAAGGCTTTTTAAATAATAAAAAAGGCAACCATCCAATTACGGGACTGTTCATGGAAAGAGTGTGTGCGTATGTATAATGCCTATTTGGACGGTTCTTGTTAAGGGGTTTTTGAACGCATCCTTTTCCTTTTCAATCTTTAGAAAAATATTTTTTATTATATTTTTTTTCTAATTTCACCTACATATTATCATTGATTTAATTCCACCAATATATTTTAATTAGTCAATAGTTTTCTTAAAAAAAAAAAAAAATTAACCCGTGTTAATTTTTTTTCATCATGAATTAGTCAATAGTTTTCTTAAAAAAAAAACAATTTTTTTTAACTCGTGTGAATTTTTTTCATCATTTTATGCTACACCTTGCTCTCTTTTCCATTTCTGCAATATAATTACACCCAGTCTAGCTAAAGGCAGTCCAATCTACCCCAAAGAATTATATATTATTAGCATTGTTAAAACTAGTTCTAAGCAGAGCATCTTTCTGAAATGAAAACGGTGAACTTACTGTCTTATATGAGCCCATACTGTCCATTTACAGAAGGAAACTGGGCTAGATTATCAATGGGCCACTTCCATCCAAGCCGACAGAGACATAAGTGGTTCTAAGAAAAGGCTCAATTTGGTTGAGCCCACTTTACAATACAAGTGGGCTCTAACTAGTCTAGGAGCAAAACAATATGCTCGCATCGCAGAGCCCACTTTACAATACAAGTGGGCTCCAACTAGTCTAGGACCAAAACAATAAGCTCGCATCGCGGAGCCCAACAACCGTAGACAACCAGTATGCTCTCTCCCGTCTTTTTGCATTTTCTTGTTCAGGTCAAGATTCAACAGCCTGCTAAACGCTTCATAACCCGACAAGAATCTTGCTGCTCCGTACTAATAATGAAGGTCCAGTACGAAGAACTAGCCGAGAATCAGAGATCGGAACCAGCCCTGACGCGCGCCTCGCTCTTTTTTAGAGCTAGAAGCATTGAGCAAGCCCATGACTCGGAATATTGAAAGGTCAATTTTTTTTTTACTTTCCAAAAATAAGCTTGCAAAACTCTTTAAAATTAGTGAATATGATTTTAATATAATAGTTAAAAATCTATATTGTAAAGGGATGAGCCAACATGTAATGGTAGTTTACAAGCATAATACGATTTTTGCTAAATGCCTTTATGTAATTTTGATTGGAAAATAAATATCAGTGACCAGTTTTTTAAAATGACAAAAAAATGAAAAAGATCTCGAAATGTCTGTCTAGAAACTCTGCTGCAAACAAATGGGCCTTAGATTTAGTATCTTTTCATGAAGGACTAATTGCTCTATATTCTTAAAATCACAAGCACCGTAGAAAAAACAATTTGCTCTATATTCTTAAAATCACAAGCACCAACGCTGCGCACACAAATAAACACCACGAATGAAAACAGTGGCATTCTTGATAATTTTCTCTCTTTTTAGTCAATCATTTGTGTTTATTTTCGTGGCTTTTTCTTCGTACATTTTTTTATCTTGTTGAAAAGAATTATTCCTCGAAAAAATATAATTACTCATGAAAAAATGTTAACTGGAAAAAATGCGGGATAGTAATTACTCACAACAAGCAGCATTCTATTATCAGTGATGTCCTTTTGTTCTTATTAAAGTAGTTGGTAGAGGTTTTTATTTAGAAATATATTAAAATAATTTTTTTTATTTTTTTTTAATATTAACACATTAAAATAATATAAAAATATATAAAAATATTTTATTTAAAAAAATTAAAAATTAAAAGAATATAATTTCCCACCATGTCCACAATGTTTAGCTAATTTTAAAACGTCTTGCTTAAAAGACGATCGATTCCCTCGGTAGGATACTTCCTCAAATCTCTTTCAGTTGTTAGTTAATGGCAGAGGATGCCAGTTAATGCATGCAATGATGTGTGTGTGTGTGTGAGAGAGAGAGAGATTAATACATACAGTGATCGAGGATAATATTAGTCAGCAACAAATCAACTCCTGATACGTTTTCAGGAAATAGCATCTGGTTTCGATGTTCTGTGTACTGGGTTTTGCCCTGGTACGGAAAAGCTGCTTCTTCACGTTATGTTTTATGCTCATCTTCTTGTGAAATAATGAACGGCAGAAAAATAATAATTAAGAAGCTTCTATAAAGAGCTTTCAGGCACAAGCAATTTCTCTTGCATTTGCTATCGAGCTAGTACAGTCTTGTAAACCATTGAACAGAGCAAAGTACTCTAGCTATGTCTATGGAGTCCTTTACTAGCCTGCTCAATCAAGCAAGGCCATATTTGCGTGTGATTTGGTGCAATGTGGCTACTCAGTAATGTCTATGCTAGTCAATCTTGACTTGAATCAAGGGTTGAAGCCACAAGTATTTGCAGCCTACAGAATGGCTGTAACCTCTATTCTCATTGCTCCTTTTGCGCGTCTTAGAAAGGTCTCGTTGATGTCTTTCTCTAAATGTATTTTCATGTGAATAATTAGCATAATCTAATTATAATCATCCTGGTTTAATGTTTCTGAACAGAAATTCAACTACGCCACTTTGAGTAATGACAATCAAATTAGTAAACTACAGAATGTATTTATTTACCATCTCTAAACATTCTTTATAAAACTTGTGCAGTTGCTGACATGATTCTGGTACCTGTTACCTTTACAAGGCCAGTTCTTGATTGTTCCGCTATGAGCTGAAAATCACCACCGCCACCTGTCAAGTTTGCCGTGTGCAATATTCTTCTTGCCATGACATTTGTAATGGCTTGCATCTTCGGGTAACCTTCAATACACATCTGTGCATTAGTTGGTACTATGAGTTAGTGATTGATCTAAGACTATTAAGGCAAGGCTGGTTTGCAGGCTTGAGGAGGTGGATATTAGGAGGCTGCACTCTCAGTCAAAGGTGGTTGGGACACTGGTAAGCATTGGAGGAGCAACGCTACTCACATTTGCTCACAGAAGGGCAATTTTTGTCGCCGTCAATCTGCACCCAGTGCACACATCCAAGATCATTTGAAGGGTGCTGTTAACATTGTGCTTGGGTGCATGAGCTCGCCAAGTTTCATCATTATTCAAGTAAACACTCATAAAAAATATGATAGATGTAGTTATGCCATCGTGAGCCTACAATTAATAAAATAAATAACTACGAGCGAAATTCAATTAATTACCGAGTTCTTACAACGCTTTCAATATTACTTCCCTAAAGGCAATGGTTCCAAAATCGTACCCAGCTAAGCTCCCCCCTGCTGCTTTAATGTGCATAACGGCCACAGAAGTATGCTGCTTTAATGTGCATAACGGCCACAGAGGAAAGTACACCATACTAACCTTTGCAGTAGAACGAGCTAACACTTGGATGTCAGATTTTTAGCTGCTTTCTATGGTGCAAAAATTCTAAGTTGGAGCAAAATCATCTTCAAAATCTAAATAATTTGGTGTAATTTTTATGCATCATACCATGCCCCTCCAAGGATTGAACTTAAAGCAGTGTCGCTCCCTTGATCAATTCCATGCTTTCCAGGCAGGGAATACTCTCAGGAGACTGCTTATTACATTTTCGGATTGTTGGTCAAGGAAAGGGGTCCAGTATTTCTGTGTGCTTCTAATCCTCTAAGCATGGTTATGGTTCCAATTCTGGGGTCTTTCATCTTCAAAGAGAAATTGTACGTTGGCAGGTATGTAAGGATAAAACCACAACATCAAACCATTTGCGCAAACAGCCAGGACAGAAGGAAATGTACAGACTTCTAATCATGACTTGGTTGCAGGACTGCTAATGTGGCAGGACCCACAGGGCCACAGATGAGCCTGTTTTAAGGAATCTAACCAAATTAGGTATACTCAAGGAATCTGAGTTTTCTAAGCAAGCTCCATGTAAGCAGTAAACCTAATACCCTATAGACATATGGTTACTAATGTATCTAACATTCCGCCATGGCTTTCATTGCTCAAGAGGTATAGCTTCTGATGCAAGGTAAGATAGCAATTGACCTCGACAAGAACAGGTTGCCCAGAATGATTACTACGATTTTTGCTACAATAAAATGTTAAAACCTAAACAAAATAGAGACAGACCTTCAAATTTTTTAATGAGCAAAACTAAGCAGAAGTGTTTTTTCTCCCAATTAACAACCATACGGAACTGATTTATAGATAGATCTAGAGCAGTCTGAACAATCAACCTGTGCTTTACCACCAGAACGAGAATAAAACCACAAGTGCTCCTGTGATGGAAGCAAAAAACAGTGGACTGCTGCTTCCATCATGAGTCAGCCAGGAGACCTTTGCCCTTTGCCTATGTAATGCTATTCCTCAACCACGGATTGTTATTCTCAATCACTACAATGAAACCACATGCAACAAAACTGGACCTAAATTGGACAGATGCCTACTTTTAACTGGAAAAGCCAAAGGTCTAAACAGGAATATAGCTCAGTCTACTCCACTGCACAAGTGAGCTTAGATTATTCCAAGCACGAGTACGCATGTGTCCTCTAATACTTGCACGTGGCTGTTTCGTCTATGTTAAGAAACAAGGTTTGGAACTTTGGACAAGAATATCCATTTGGTGATGCAAAATAGGGATTTGCGTTCAATCTTCAATTAATAGGACATGGTGTATGTCAATAGCTAGAGCCATGTCAAAATCCTTGGAGCTCTACACATCTCCATAGAGTTCATTTACTCTATCCTATATTTGCAACCAAGCCTCTATAGAGCACGGCATGAGGTATAAAGATGCTTTTTGCACAACTTCATCAACTAAAATGCAGAAAGCACCTCTGGCCTGTCATGAATGCACAAACACAGTAGTCTACCAATAACAGAATAAGTCCAAAACAAAAACTTAAATTCTTATAGCGAAAGGATAAAAAAGTTGAAGAAACATTCCTCCTCTCAAAATTATTAGAAATCCCAAAACAAGTCTATAATTACCAGAGAAATATGCTTCTATGGACAGAACACATACCACCTCACTTATTCTAAAAGTAGGGTCTTCATCTCAAGATGGTAGAGTGACTTCCTCCTTTCCATAGATGCGCTGAAGTTCACGGGTGGCAGCTTCATATGATGCTGACGAGAAGAGAAGAAAATTTGTTGAGAGAGAATAAAAAACTAATATGCATCTCTTGTATTTGTGAAAGGCAGTCACATAAACTCATCTAAAACTACTCCTTACCTTTCCAGCTGAGGAAATTCTTCTGATTAATAGCAGATCCAGTAACAGTTTCAATCGCATTGAACAGCATCTCCTGAGGAGTGTTCTTCAGTTCCTGAACAACTGCATAGATGGTCTTCCCGTTCTCAAAGTAGATATGGTTATTGGGATGCTTGGTCTTGCAGTTAGCATGTCGCTCAAATTCATATGCATTCAAAACCTGCAAAGTGCATCCCAAGTCATGAAATAGTTTTGAACATTTCATTAGTTTTGTTTCAAGACACTAGACTATATTTAGAGTTGCCTACCTTATTGCCGCATACTTTGCAACTACATAAATACCCAGTCCCTTTTATAGTTCCTCTAAGAGTTTTCTGCCAAGATGAAGGTTATGCATTTTAATGTGGGAACCATAATCAGTAAGAAATATTTCTCATTCCTAAATGTATATTGACATCTCAACCATAATATTTCAATCTCACCTCCCTTGACCAGGAAACATATTTCACAGGAACCCCGTCAAGCAAGCCAGTTGATAGCAAGCTCTTGACATTTGAGGGGAAGTTGTTAGGAGGGATCTTCTTAGATGTCTTCAGCTCTTTATTCTTGGAGGCAGAATCGATTGTTGTCTTTGGCTCTTTATTCTTGGGGGCTGCATTGATTGATGTCTTTGGCTCTTTACCATTGGTGTCAGTATCAGTTTTGGAATTAGCTTCCAGACCACTATTTAATTGTGTATTTGCAATCACCTTTGATGCAGTATTGGTATTCAATTGTGGATCAACATTTGTCTGAGGCAAATTGTTCTGAACCGGTACTTCTGAAGTTTGAGCCGTGTTCTGATTGCTCACTAGCAGGTCATAGCCTCTAATAACATTGCCAGACATATTTGTCTCAGGTTCGTCATGAAAGCTTTGAAAAGAAATGGAATTGTTGTCACCCTTGTTGTAGCTGTGACCAATGGATAGAATACCAGAATTCCCTTTGTCCTGGGCAGGAGTCATGGATGCTATATCAATATCTGCCTTGTCATATATTGGACCGTTTGATATGACATTATCCCCTCCCTTGCTAAATGAGGAACCCATCAAAATGAAATTTTCACTCGTTTTATCATAGGAGGGTCCCATTGAAATGAAACTCTCATGTCCCTTATTGTAGGAGAGAGCCATTGATATGAAATGGTTATCTTCTTTGTCATAAGATGGACCCATTGTTATGAAATTGGCGTCCTTCTTGTCAAACGGCTGACCCATTGATAAGATGCTCTCATCTCCCTTGTTATAACCCTGGCCCATTGATATGAAATTGTCATCATCCTTGTTAAATGCATGACCCATTGAAATGAAACTACCATCTGCCTTGCTGAATGAGGGGCTGATTGAGATGGTATTCTCATCCCCATTGTTATATGTAGAACCCAAAGAGATGGCATTGCTCTCCCTCTTATTATAGGCAGTACCCATTGAAATTATATTGTCATCTCCTCTATTATAGGAGTGCCCCACAGATGAAGAAATGTCATTGCTTGAGTCTCTAACTTGATTGACTCTCACTTTTCTGAGGCCACCAAAACTAATTGATGCAGGGGGATCTTCAACGTTATGAGACATGGACAAACCCATCGAGCAATTGCTGCCATATAGGTCATTGAAATCCTTTCTTTCCATGTTCATATTTCCATTGCTGGCAGAAGGCACGTTGCTACCACTGTTAATCCGCAATGGTTCAAACCCAAACAGACGGTCATTAAATTGTCCTGAAACTGATTGGAAGCAGGAAGTATTATTCCATGGAGAAATGTTCATGTGCGACATTCCCATTACTGGCCTGTTGTTGCTAGATGGTTCAACTGCTTGTTTCTTGTTGCTGAACAATTCAGGTCCAGTGCTATCCATAAGCCACTGATGACCACGCTTTGGTTCCATTCTTGAGGAATTATCGAAACCTATATCTCCATCAGTTAAACACCCCACATCTCTGGTCATCCAAAAGCTCTTCTGCTGGAAAGACTACCAAAAAACAAGAGCCGTCCAAGTGACAATCATATATCAACAGGACTAGAGAAGAACAGAAATTGAGGATTCAATATTCCAAAAATGCATTGCAGAGGGTAAAGGGACATGAAATAATGCCAAACAAACAACTAAAGGCAGATACGGATTAATCAATAGAAACTTTCAAAAAATAAAAAAGCATGCACTCCATAATGTGTAAAATTCTTAAATTTATAGATCCTCTTTCTTTGGAGTTAAACATATCAATCAATAGCCATTTCAAAATACAAGCATGCAGTCTGTAATGTTAAATTCTTAGATTCATAGATCCTTTCTACTTTACTTTTAGCTCCCAAATAATCAAAGAAAAAGGAGGTCTTTTAGAAGTTATCTCAATCTGATACACATAAAATGGGTAGAGGGCATTGACAGAAGTCAGAACTCTGACAAGGTGCCCAAAAGTAGTAATTGTTATGAAACTTCTTGACAAATCTTTCAAGATAAGAGCTGTCCAGATTTGGTGAGCCACATCTTAGAGCCTAAACCTAACACTATTACTAGATGACCAGTTAACACATAGGGTGCCTTCTTCGGAGACAAAAAAGTCAACTTGCACTGAACATGGTACGCAATTTAAGACCTCAAGGCCAATTTCATGCTGTTTCAAAAATACTTTCTAAAGCTTTCCCATTTTTCCCTTTGGTCATATTCAATGCTCAACTCTGCTTGGTTTGTTAAGTAAATAATGGATTACAATCATCATAAGCACATTAATGCATATAAACTAGAAGAACTAAATTTAAAAGGTGAATATAGTAGGCAATGAAATTTTAGATCCACAAATTTTCTCAAAGTTAACCTACATAAGACAAGATTCAGCAGCGCTGCTAATATTATGGATCTTCCAGACGACTTTCAAATGATAGAACTTTATATCACAACTTTTCTCAAATCCTCACCTGAATGCTCAAATGACCAGAGGAAAATATCCTTGGCCCATTGAAGTGGCAAAATTAAAAAAGAAAACGAACTGATTTCCAAGCAAGGAACCAAGTGCATGAGCTGACTGTCAATGCTTAATTAATGTAATCATTCTTTCTTAAATATTAACTTATTTCTTAAGTAGGCATGACAGGAAAAGGTCCAGCCATGATGAAAGCAAAAGTACATTTTTTTTCAAACATCAACAATAAGCCAAGTCAAAAGCAAGTTTCTAAGCATGAACCAGGCAGAGTATATGACAATAAAGAAAGTGGGTAACACAACTCGGATCCATCAATAATCTTTTGAGCTTACTTCAAATTCTATAATCAGCTAGCGCGTTATTTCATTCCATTGACAGGCACCATATATGCACCATATACACGGATAATAGGCTTAGTTTGTAAAGTTGGCGAACAGCCAACTTAGACTGAATATGTTCTATCAACCACAACAGTGTTATCATGGTGAGTACTTTAAACTTGTGCATGTTGTATTAAAACTCGCCATCTTCGACCAAACTTCTGATGAAATCTAGATTTGCAAACCAAGAAACAATGATTCACAAGCTCAAAACTTTCTCTATAATCTCATGTCCTTGCATATGCCTGAGGCATGCATTGCCACATATAAGATAAGGCAATCTTTTGCTCATGAGAGGACTTCTTAGGCTTTCATGAGTACTTTTTTTTTAATGTAGCTCAATGGCATGTTGTGTTTATACCTTTTGCTAATCCTACAAATGAGTGGTATCCCTTTGGTGCTAGTTTTTAAAGATTCATTCACTTCTTAGTTATTTGAAAAAAAAAAATACAAGGAAGGAGAGGGATCCACATAAACCTCATTAGTTATTTGAAAAAAAAAAATACAAGGAGAGAGATCCACATAAACCTCGGAGAGGTTTGTAGGGGATCACAACAACTCATGAAGATGAAATTCAACGTTGAACCCAATAATACTTGAGGCATGGTGTTAAATTATTGTCCTAATTCCATGCATGGCCAAGAATGAAAATACAAATTGCAATGGTGTGGGTCTGAACAACTTGTCCATGCCATTGTACCATGCTACATAAATGTTCTTACGTATTAATAGTCAGAAAATACTCTACGTAATAGTAACAACCAACATAAAGCATAACTCTTAAGTTAAAAGTAGATGGATTTAGGCTAACTAACAACCAACTACACTAATCTCAATGAGAAATATTTAGAATTTGGAAAGGAAATCAAGTAAAATGTTAAAAAAAAAATCCTTGCAAGTAAAATAGACGAGGACATTCCATCCTGGGAAGGAAAGTGCTTTGGCAAGTCGAGTAGCAGAATTAAAAAGGAAGGAATGAGCATGCCGAATGGATAGCCTATAAGCCCCATACAATTAGAAGCTACAACATGAATACAATAGTATGTGGAATCACCATGATACGATGATTCATTTAAAAAGAAAGAAAATGATTCCATATAGCAAGGATATTTATTAATTTAGTTATGATTTATTTGGAAAGTAATAAAAGTACAATTGGCAATTTTGAATATTGATTTTTTTTTCTTATCTTACAAACTATATAGACTAGGTTGGTGGCTTTAGTACATTTTCTCTTTTCATTACAAAAAATGAGTCAATTTAATTTTTTTTCTATGCACCTTTTTCTCACTTGAATTTCAGTTTAGTTTTTATTTGCTATTTTGTTTACATCTTTTTTCTCTCAAGAATTTTAACTGTTCAATGAGTTTTGTTTTGCATTTCCCTCATTTTGTTTGAAAGTCTCAAAAGTGATCGTAATTGGATTCAAACTACATATATTATTGGTAAGCTACCACTAATAACCAATCACCCTATCCATTGTCACCATCCACCACCATCGATGATGCCATTGGGTATTAACAATGATTGATTGTCAATCACCATGTTAGTCGATGACCACGTTCAACTATTGATGAGGCAATTGAATATTGGCCAACTGGAATTTGAAAGTCATTGACAAGATTGTTGAAGTTGTTGAAAGTCATTTATTGTAAATCAATTATCTAGCACTTACAATTATGTGGTGGCCAAAAGGTGCATTGAAGGTTACCTTCAGGTGCATTTACTTATAGCAATTACCCTTCAAATATGCAACCAACACTTGCAACCAACGAGCACCTATAGGGTTTGAGAGTTTGCATTTACAAATAGGACTCGCCATCGATGTCCACATGTGTAGCGTACATGAAAATCACTTTGAAGGTGGGCGACACCAATAAGTGCAGGTAGTATTAACCATTTTTTCTTTAGGATTGGAAAAATATTTGTTATAAAACCTTTATGAGCATTGGAAGGACTTTCCTTATAAAAAGAGCATGTTCCATTATGCACAATGCATTTCACATTGTGGAGGCAGATGAGAAATATTAAATACATGTTAAAATCAGCTTTTCTTTCGGAAATAAGGGATATGTTTGGCAAACTGGTATTTGATATGAGAAGAACAAAAGGTTATGTGCAAGACACAAAATACATCACTGTAATGGATACATAAATGCCATGATTTCTAAACAAGTGATTTTTACAAAATGTAACCATTGATAGTTGGCAAAAACATAAAAGCCCATATAAGTCAGAGGTTGAAGACTTGTAGTAATAAGCTATGTGAGATGAAATCTTTTTTGACCTCTTCAATAATGTTACTCCAAAGAAGAATCTATAGGAAGTTGGATTGCTATCAAAGTTTCTATTCTTGTACAAATGAGAATCCTAGCATATCGATGCTACATATAAATCAGATGACGAAGCAATGAGCCTCTCTCTTTATTGAAAGATCACTAGAGAAACTTTATGACCATGTGCTTCCATGATGTTGATTTTCAGTTGGTTCTTGAGTTGTTGCTCAATAGATGTAAATGAACTATGCTCATCATGAAGAAGAATTTTAGTGATTTTGATGGAATCGACCTTTAATATCATGAAGCTCCCCACCCCTATTCCTAATGTTGGCAAGTAGCCTTAAACCCTCATGCTTTGTTGACAAACTTTTAGCCCACCTACCACCTTCTGGGATGCTCCTTTGAGATTGGCATTTTTTTTTTTCAAGGAAAGGTTAGGCAAGGCTCCCGAAAGTCATCAACAAGACACAAAAGGTCATGGTATTGGCCTAACAGCCCGTAAGAATTATAACGGCAACCCTTCAAGGGTGTTGGCCAGACAAAGACCTAGCAAGCGTACACCTAAAAACCCTTCAACAGTGGCACAAGCTTCATGTGCTTGAGATTACTCAAAACTATTTAAGGATCTTTTTCCTATGTGTTTCCTTTTCGTGCTTTTCCCCATGTACTATGTTTACTATGATTTTTCCTATGTGTTTCCTTTTCGTGCTTTTTCCCATGTACTATGTTTACTATTCATTATTGGATGATTAATTTATTATTTATTACAGTAACAAAAAAGAAAATGTAAGTTTAAATACATTTAAATTAAATGACTAACATTCTTAACATTTCTATGATGGAACGTTAAGTTTGAATTGCCCAATGTAGCTTGCCTAGATTAATTCTCATGTGTATAGAAGTAGATGGATGAAATGCACAATGAAAAGGACATAGTTGGGTAACGATGAAATAAATGATCTTTCAAGCTCTATTGAAAACGTGAAGGCTCAAGAAAAGGTACAGAAATAAATGAGTGAATGTTTCCCTTAGCTGCACATTGCACAATATGAATTTTAATCATATTAGGAAGGTAAATTCGTGTTTAAAAAAATGACAAGTTCAAAACAAGATTTGTCATTCCATTCAACTCCAAGCAATGCAATTCGTTCTTCCTACACCATACTCACTCCATCCTCCTTTTAGCACATGCTCTAACCTTATATGGTTACAAATTGTAGTCAGCATTGCAATAAGTACATAGGATTCCAAAAGGGGCTGACACTCTCGTCGAGCTTCTCTTTATAGGTTTCATTGTAGATGAATAGTTTTTCCAATGAACTATGCCTTGGTTGAGCCATGAGCCTTTAAATTAGTTCTTCGCTGAGACAAATCAACGTCCATCCTTGCAAATTGAAGACAGCTTCCATGCAGGAGAATTGATGAACATTGCATATGTTGAATGTTGAATCAAGTATTAAGACTTCCAAAGGCACAGGTCACACAATCTTGAAGACATTTAAAGTGGACAGAGGTTGGACTATAGAACTTGTAAGTTCTCAACCAACATGGCCTTGTGAGGAAGTAGAAATAAGCATTGATTTGGGATAAAGGTTCTCATAAATGGTTGTTTCTGACTATATCAGGAGTGCTAATTCATTAGGAAGGAATAAAGGTTCTCATATATGGATATTTCTGACTATATCAGGAGACATAATTTTATTATGCAGGAATATACCTAATATCAGTCAAGTGAGTACCTTCAATGGATTCCGTCACTTGAAAAGATTTGTTTCTTTGTTGAAAAATATGTCTTGTTAATTACTAAGAGAATTCTCACAGAGAGCTTTTTCTAAATGACGAGGAATCCAACTTAAGATAAGAAACCCTCAGGCACCTAAATGCTACAAATGCATTAGGTGAGTCCATGGATCCGAAACCAGGTCAACAATGTGGAGAGCAGAGCACACTCACTTGTCAGCTCAGATTACTCCAGATTTCCCAGCTATATTCTTCCCTAAATCTCCGATCTCTAGCTCTGTTTGAGCCCTTAACCACTCCTATCTTATCTTAATGTGATAAGAACACGATAGCCCTCATGTCATTGTTTGGTAAAGGAAAAGCAAAATTAAGGATAATATAATCCTCCTCCTCTACTTCACTCCACAAAATTGTAGTAGTAAATGAAGTTACAATAAAACTATCTCCAAATGTGGATCAGCATGGCTGGATATACTTAAAGAATTTGCAATACAGAAACACACACAAAATAAACAAGGAAAGATAGCATTCAAATACAGTAAAGGATCTGGCAAGCAGATATGAAAATAAGTAACAAAATTTAATACCAAATAGCCAAACAACAATCACAAAACATATAAACACTTGAAAAACCATAATCAATCAACATATCTAATCGAAACCAAACTTTGGACATAACATTTTCAATAAAACGAACAAAAACTTGAATAGAAAATTCCAAGCCTACCATTTTTTGCCGTTAGCCAAGCCCACAGAGACTCACTGAATGAAGACTAAAACCAACGCGCAAAACTCGTTCTCAGGTGATCTCCACTCGAAACTCGAAGTTCTACTTTCAATAACACACGCCACTCTTTACTACTCCGTTTCGCTCATTCACGCCATTGATCACGATCAAGCTCAAATAATCTGCAGCACAAACTCAAACGCCAAAACCTAACCGTTTTAAATTAACAAACCATGAAAATCAAACTTCGATCATGCATAGCATTCATTTAAAACCGTTTAGAGAGAAAACATTGAACAATTATAGTGAGACAAACAAGCTCAAAATTATCAAAACTGTAATCATCAAAATTCAAAATCCACTCGCACTAAGTACACACAGCACGAAAGGCATGCATAGTGACGGTCACTACACATGATAACTGAGAGATACATGTGAGACTGGTAGCGTACCTTTAGCCTGAAAGATCGCCGGAGAAACTCCCGGCAACTGCAAGAGTGAGTGAGTGTTTTTTTTATCTTTTTTCAGGAGAGAGAATTAAAATACAAAATTACTTATGTCAGCTTGGTTTTTAACTACGAGGAGAAACATATCTAATGCCCGGTGGTCTAGGATCTTATCCGTACACGTGGAACGATGGAGCTGGAATCAACGGCTTGATTTACTATACAGGCTTTGGACCGCTAAAACGCATTGCCATATATGGAAGAGTCTTATATGGCAATGTACAGGAGAGGAGCCTTTCACTCTTGTTGTAAAAGGTAAGTGCAGCGCAACGCAAGATAGGTATTCCACTTGTCAGTTTTCTATTGATTACAAGGTGTTTCTGGTAATGTGTTTCGCAGTGGGAAGGTAGGGGTCTAGTGGTTTAGGTCTATGGTAAGAATTATGAGTTTCTCAAACTATTAAAGCACATTGGTTGAAGAGAATTGTTGTCAATTTGTACTCAGTGTTTTGTGTTTTCTTGTCTCCTAGGGGGTAAAATATAATTTTTGCCATGTTTAGAAAATTGGTGAGGGGGCATTGTGGTAAAATAGGGTGTAATCAGTATGGCTAGTCCATGGGCCTAAATTTGGTAAAAATGAAGGGTCTGGATTTGTTTTAAATGTGCTTTAGATTAACTTTGGTAAGTAGAATCACCATTATTAGTGAGGTAATTTAATGGCTTAGCCCTTATTTAGATAGTTATTTATGGTGAGAGTAAAATTTGGCACCAAGAGGTTCACATGCTGGATATGCTCAAAGTTGTGGGCACACCCACCTCACGCATAGTAATTAATTATTTTTAATGTATCAAATCTACGTAAAGTAAATGTGTTTTTGAGATTATTTAATAGAAATATTAGTCTTAATTGGTAAACAAAATAACTTAAAGATAACCCCTGTTAAGAAAACTAAATCTTGTGCGTTGAAATGAGCCCGTATTAGGCAATGACACGAGGACAATGCCTGTCTTCTTCTTCTTTTTTTTTTTTATTCACGTGGGGTGTCCGGGTCAGTTTACGCACACCACAACTAATCTACACGGTCCACTGAACATCCTGCAAGCCCAGTAAGCAGGTAAGGCACCGCGGGGGTGACAGGCGTACATGATGAGATTCGAACACAGATGCGAAGGAAGAGGACAAGCTCTTTCCACCGCTAGACCAGAACCTCACTTACCAATGCCTGTCTTCTTGAATACTTGAGTTTGTGTCATTTTATCTGTTGATTTTATTTAATGAATTTAAGTTTATATGAAGAGACTACTACTATGAGCACATTATTTTACCACCTCTGTTTTCTTTCATATTTTAGGCGACCTACGTAATTCCGACGTGTACATGTGATTTGTTTAGCTGTAACATTTTCGAAGTATTTTTTTTTTTATGATTGGAGGATCTATTTAGATAATGATTTAGAAATATAATTGTTTGCATGTTCTTGCCAAGCTGGAACTTATAGAATTGTTTATTACTATTATTAAATCTAAAAATACAATTATTTAGAAAAAAAAATTTAATCAAGATAATATTTTTTCAATATATCTCTTATTAATCTTACTAAGGTATGGTTTTTAACTTGAGTTATTTTTTTATTGATAAATAAAAATTTAATAATTGTTAAATCAAATAAAAAAATATACCAAACTATTATATTTTTATTTTATATGTGATTGAGATCTAAAAATCACTGTAAACATGACAAAATCATGTTAAAAATTTATCTAGAAATTCTAAAAAAAAAATTAATTTTTATAAACAATTTATTATTAGTATTAGGATTTTCATATTATATACATAATAATTTAAAAAATAATAAAAATAAAATATAGATTTATAATAATATTTAAGAACCATGTTAAAGCTTAAAAGTAAACAAATTTAGTATTTTTTTTCCCCCGGAATACCAAGAAAAACAAAGGGATAAAAAAAAAAAAGGAATCAAGCCCAGTGTCTGCCGACGACAACAAGCTAGGTGTGCACAAGCCTGATTCTGTTGTTTTTTCCTTTTTCATTAAGGACATGCCATCTGTTGGAAAATAATGTTATTAGTGAAAGTAAAATTTGTGATCTCATGGCTTTTTTTAAAGTGTTACCAACCGAGCCACAACATTAAATTGCTATGAATCAATTTATAAAATATTTCAAAGTGATTTATTGTATTAAACTATTATATGTTATTTTTTTATTAACATGAATATCTAAATAATATTGCATGTATATAACTCGATTAAATTTATGAATTTTAATATTAGAGAACTCAAACTTATAATTATTATAATATAAATTTAAAATCTAATTATTTAAGTCACTTTTCAAAATTTATAAAAGTTAATAATATCATAAAGCATCGTATAACCAATAATATTCCAAATCTCATCATCCATCAATTTTAAATTTTATTATATCAAATAAGATAGTGAATAGCTAAGTTATTGCTATTTTTTGTGCAAATCATGCACACTCATCTCAAAATTAATTATACAAATTTAAGGAACACAACCAAACATGAAAAAATTTAAATAATAATTAGCTTGACTAGTAAAATTGTTGCTTAGATTTACTGCAAGGTGCCTATGCTCATGGAGTAGTATAAGTATGTGTTTGACTTAGAGATATAGTGGTTTTTTATTAAAGATATGATTTTTATAAAGTATAAATTATATCTTTAAAAACTAAAAATACATGTTTTTATATAAATTTCATAAAAAAAAAAGCTAAAATTATCTCTAAACCAAACACTCTGAGTTTTTCCAGATGAAAGGAGGAGCTTAAACTTGGGATTATAACCACTATAAAACTCATAAAAAATAATGACGAGGTATCCATTTTTCAGACAGGGAAATTCTTTTGTTTTTTTATGGTCGAAGTAAATTCTTTTCTTAAACGGTCTGATATTAGCATATAGCTTTTAGGGGAAAAGTAATAATAACTATGTTTTAAAATCATAGCAAAACCAACGAGGCAAACATTGCCAAGTCATTTTTTTTTCCCAATAATAAAAATATTATCTAATTAGTTTATACATTAATCGGGAGATTAAATCGTTATCCAAATAATTTAAAAAGCACCCTCGGATAACCTTATGCATTTTAAAAGATTTAATTAAAAAATTTAGATGTTGACTTTTACAATTTAAACTGAAAAGGTAAAAAAAAATTCTTAAGTGGTTTAAAGATGGTTGGAGCCTAGTGTAAATTGTGTTTTAATTTTTTTTAATATTTTTATAAAAAAATAATTTTTTTTATAATTTTTAAATTGTTTTAATATATTAATCTTAAAAATAATTTTTAAAAAATAAAAAATATTATTTTAATATATTTTATTATAATTTATAAAAAAAACAACTACAACAACACTCAATATAAACAGGTTTATAATCTATCCAACTACCACAAACATTACAATTACAGTTTCAATTATTATTAGTATTATTATTATTGTTATTATTATTCAAAAGCTTGCTAAATTCAGTAGAAACGAACCGTCAAAATAACTGTCAAAATATACAACACAGAGCAGAGCCTAAACTCTTTTCTTTTTTTAAAAAAAAAACCCGTTCTAACTGGAGCCTCACATTTCTCTTCTAACTTTTAGATTCAAACAGGTTTTAATCGGACAGGAATCTTGTTCTTTTGTCCGGGACTCAATACGAACAGAACAATATTTTAAAAGTCAAATGTAGAGGCGGTTTTTTTCTTTTCAAAACTACATTTCGATGATTTTTAAAACTGTGTCGGCATAAAAAAATATTAAATTAATATTTTTTAATTTTAAAGGGTTGATGTTAAAAATAAAAAATAAATCTGAAAAAAATACATTTTAATATAATTTTAAATGGAAAATATTTTTAAATAAATATTATACATTACAATAATTAAATTGCTCTGATTACATAGTGAGACTACTCAATAAATGGGCCTACTTAAAAGAAAAAAGAAAAAAACACAAAGTGGATCAGCAACGATTGACGAAGCCACAAGGCCAGACCTTTCCTGTTACACGTTTAGAGCTTGATTTTTTGAAATCTCAAACACTGTCAAGCCCATCTGCATATGTTTTTTTTATTGTTTATTTTAAGATGGTCATAGAGGGATAGAAAGATCCCTCACAAATTATTATTTTTTATAAAAAAGAAAAATCAAATGAAGATTAATAATTTGGTGAACAATTCCCTCCATGTGCAAAACCGGGCTATAACAGGAGCTGATTTCTGTTATTTTCTGGCATGAATATTGTTTGATGTTTTCTCTATTTAAGTACTATTTGCGGAAACTTATTTGAAAATAAGATTGAAAACATTTAGGTGAAATTGATAGCAATGGTTGATGATGCCAGAAACTCTTTTTAATTACATTTCATGATTATTTACGCAGAATAGATGGCACCCTCTTTTTCATCCTCTGCTTAAACATGATTTACCTAACTTATATATTTTAAGATTATTTTAGAATGTGATTGTGGTTATTTTTTAAATATTTTTTTGTAAAATAAGATTGAAAACATTTAGGTGAAATTGATAGCAATGGTTGATGATGCCAAAACTCTTTTTAGTTACATTTCATGATTATTTACGCAGAATAGATGGCACCCTCTTTTTTATCCTCTGCTTTTCTTGAAAACATGATTTACCTAACTTATATATTTTCTGATAGTGTAATTATAATTATGTTTTAATAATTTTTTTGTGTTAAAATATACAATAATGATTTTTTTTATTTTTTTAAAATTATTTTTAATATCATCACATCAAAATAATTTTAAAACACTAAAAATATATTAATTTTAAATAAATAAATAAATTTAAATTTTTTTATAAATACCTTTAAAACACATAAAGAATAGGCTCATTCACTACCACTTGCTACTACTTGCTTCGTCCATCGACAGACAATTACTCGTGATCCTCAAGTTTTTAAGAAGTGACCAGATCTAATATCTGTGATTGCAAAATGTCTCAAGCCAACAACATTCAACAGCACGCTGCCACCTGATGAAGTGATATTCCAGGGATATATACATATAACCTATAATTAATTTTCATAAAAATCGATTAGTTTCATTAAAAATAAAAAATAAAATCGACCATAAGAGAG